ATTATTTGTCTGTAGGGATGAGTATATGTTTTATATAAATACATAAAAACAGGGTGAATATAGCCTCACAGCATCATCAAATACGGTACCGTCTGTGGCCTGTTGCAAGTCGGTTGCACAGCAGGAGGTGAGCAGCGTGCAAGTGGTGCTCTGCCTTCAGTCAGATCGGCAGTGACATTAGATTCACAGTAGCACGAACCGCTTTTTGAACTGTGCATGCCAGGATCTAGGTTGGATGCTCCTTGTGAGAATCGAATGCCTGTTTATATACTCCCGTGTCCCCTGCATCTGTGGAAAAACTCTCTTCCACAGAACCTGTCTCTGATGCCAAAAAGGTTGAGGAGCACTGGATTAAATGACAGGAGTATAACAACAGAAGGCTATATCATTCTTTTATAAATAGTAGAAGTGGGAGTATCTTGGTACCGTATGTAAAGAAGCCACTGGAAAATCTTCAGCAAAATGACTGAGAAATTGCTGGAAAATCTTCATAAAGATTTATCTAAATTTTTACCTGCTTAAAGATTTAAAAAAGGGGGAAAAAAGTAAAATTCCATGAATCAAGATTCTTAAAAAAAGAAAAAGATGACTCAAGAGTAATGGAAAACTTTCAGACATCAATTTATGACTGTACAGCATCAATGATGCTAATTTGCAGATGTATTTGCTAAGATTCTGCTAGTCATCACTGCAGGATTGCAGAAAATGGGAAAGATTGTAGTGTCAGCCGGGGTTCAAGGCAGAAGACGGGAAGTAGGCAGAGATTGATTATGGTAAATGGGTGCTTGCAAGTCACTGGAAGACCTAGAGAAGTGGGCTGTAGTCTGGGCTTCTCGGAATAACTCCAGGGCTAGAGAGCTGAATCACCAGAGAGCTCCTACCTCGGAAAGAATATCAGAGCCATTGGATTTTCAGATTGTATGCTCAAAGCTGAGATGAGGGCATCACAGAGCTGGGACTGTACATGTGTTGCTGCTTTGTAAGTAGCTATCGCCACTCCATTATGCTGTGTACTGGGGACTGGAACCTGGAGTTCATTGTGGCCTCTGCTAACTTTCCTCTCATCAAGGAATCTGGAGAGTGACACGAATCATTTCTCCAGAAGAAAATCTGTTGTCTCCACAAGACCTTGCTTGCCAAACAAGAAATGTCAGAAGATGATGACCATCCTCACCTCTGCCTTGCAGGTTTCTCATAAGGGCATCTGCAGGACCTTATTGGAATCCACAATGCTAGCCACAAAAGCCTCTGGAAAGTATATACCTAAGTCTGAAGTCTCTTTAATACATAAAGCTATGACACAAGGGAGTCAACTGGAAATTCAGTGTGCCACACCACGGTATTCTATACAACTGCAGACAGGCAAAGGTTCTTATTTCTTTAGAAGGAAAAAGAGATTATTATTATTTTTTGAGTCAGGGTGTCACTCTGTCAGCCAGGTTGGAGTGCAGTGTCTTGATGATTGCTCACCACAGCCTTGACCTTCTGAGCTCAGGAAATCCTTCTGCTTCAGCCTCCTGAGTAGCTGGGACTACAGTCATGTGCCACCATGGCTAATTTTTAAATTTTTTTGTGAGACAAGTTCTTGCTCTGTTGCTCAGGCTGGTCTCGAACTCCTGGGCTCCAGTAAGCATCCTATTTCAGCTTCCCAAAGTGCTGGAATTACAGCTATGAGCCACTGCGCCAAGTCAGAAGAGATACCTCCTGAACTTGACATTGGTCTTGGTAGTGATTAAAAATGTATCATGTAAGCCATTAAGGCAGGGTGCAATGATCACTGGGAATAGAGAGTTTATTAAAAACTAATCATACCAGATAGTTTATCAATGTGGTAAGCAAGAACTATAGGGCTTTAATGTATTTAGATTTTAACAAAGCTTTGCTTTTTAATATATTTTATGATACCATAAGACAAAATTTGAAATAAGTGGTCAAGATGGTGGCACAGTTGAATGGATTTGTAATTAGTGGAAGACTAAACACTGTTGGTTAGTAGATACATGTCCAATTATCACACATGCTATAGGAAAATATACTTTACACTGCCCTACATTACATAACAAAGCAGGAAAGAATACTGATTTAAAACATAGCAACAGTCTTCATTTATTGAGATCTCACTCTAAGTGAGGCACTACAGATACATTAACTCCTTTACTCCTTATAGCAACCTTGTCAGGTTATTATTATTCCATTTTAAATACGAGGAAACTGATGCTAGAAAGTGTAAATAACTTGCCCATACTACGCATCTAGTAAATGGCAGAGCTGAGATTCATACCTAAAATTGCTTCAAGGGGGAGATATCAGAGGGAGAGGAAATGCCAGTGTTTCTTGAAGAAACGAACTAGTTATTTCCTTGCCAAGAAACCACAGAAGGTGGCATTTCTATTATTCCACATGAGGTAGGAGGTGATCCACTGTCTTGCATGACCTAGTCAATATCTCAGGGACTCAAATTCACATTGAAAATCCTCACTAACATCCCACATTTAAAGCCAACTGTTGATTTATTAAATTACGAGAAATGTAACAGTCTGACCAAATATAAGCAATATCCTTACATATATTTTCTGAAGGATAGTCTGATAGCAAAATGTCTATAGAGGGTAGAATCAGACCAGATAGACTCTGATCAGAATGCTAACCGGCAGTATGTTCTGACAATCACAATATCAATCCAGCTGACTGGATCTCTGAAACTACCTGGGGAGGACACGTTCTAATTTGGCCAAGCAGTGGCAGAGTTTACCTCTCTGACTTTTTTGTATGCCTTCATGACTGTTGGCCATTTTTTGTTTTTCTTTTTTGATTCCAGCTAAGTTAATTTTAAGACTCAGTCCTCGGAAACCCCTTGGGTCCGCTCACACTGTGGGAGTTTTTTTGTCCTCTCAATAAATCCTGCTTTCTTAAAAAAAAAAAAAAAAAAAAAAAAAAGATTCAGTCCTCTTTAAGGTGGTTGATCGGTTTTCTGCTGATACAATTACTTAACTTTAGATAATAAGTTTAATTCCCATATTTCCAAATTAACGATTGTCCTTATGCATAACCTATAAGATGCATGCCCATTTGACACTTTCCTTAACCTGTGCTGACCTTGCTAGGTTAAAAAGAGCAAACACAAGAACAGAAGTACCGGTGCTAACATACATAATGTAATAGCAACACACTTTTTAAAAAGACAGTATTTTATTTAACATAGGCACACTACAAGTTAATCGCTTGTAATATTATTATCAAAGAAGCCAGGACAGACTTAGCTATATTAACTATGTAAGAGTAGGATTGTTGAGTGAATGAGTGCGGGAATGAATAAAGAAGTTGCTAACTCTACCCTAATCTTCAGTAACAATCTAGAGTAGCAATGTTTATTTAGTTCAGAGTCCAGATTTTCAGAGAATATTGACAGACTGGAGTTAATTCAGAGGAAACTGACCAGATGGTAATCAAACTTAAAACCACATTCTGTCAGATGGTGATAGGACCCTGGTGATATTTAGCTTAAGAAAAAGAAAAGGAGAAGGAGTGCTTATGCTTGGGCCAGTCTTGTGCTGTCTTTTAATAGATTTCAAACACTATGGTTAATAAGGGAAGGGGAATACTTTATTTTAAGTTGTTCTGAAAGACAGGACTAACAGTAGTCAGTGTAGACCACAGAAAGGCGATTCTGTTTACCAGAATGGTAGCATTTCTGTTCTCAAAGCTGTCTAACCACAGAATGAGCTGCCTGGATATTAATGAGTTCCATGTTTTCGGAGGTACACAAGCAGAGACTGGAGAAACTTTTGGTGAAGATATTTTAGAAAGAAACAGGCATTAGTGAAGGCATGGAGCAGATGACTCTAAGAATTTGTTCAATTTTATTCTATGAATCTATCAATGTCTTATGGCACACTAATTCTACTTTTGGCTTTTCAGTTAGTGGCATGAACCTTCAGTAGTTCATGTTACTTCCAATTCAATAGATCAATTGCAGTGGATTCTGGTTTTGCATTCCTTCCTAGCAACGAAGACAGAACTCAGCAAAACCCAAAGTTGCGGGAATGAACACACATATCTTGTGAATGCATCATTAAGTGTAGTGTCAAGAAGTCTCTCACTTTCTCATTTGTTCTCCAAACCCGTGTATTCTGAGTATGAGAGAAATAGTACTACAGGTTTAGACTGCTTTCTCAAAGCATTGCAAATTATCATTCACAAGCCGTTTGAAAGCTTCAAATGTCAACAGCATTTATTTTTGTCTTTGTTTTTAAATGCAGTTATTTATGTTTCTGAAATTCCATCTGATTGTATTTCTTATTTGAGCTTTATTATTGTTCATGAGTACATGTTGATCATCAACCCACCTGTGCTTTCATGGCAATTAACATCATACCTTAAAACCTGGTTTGGAGCCAAGCTCCGTGGCACACACTTGTAGTCCCAGCTACTCAGGCAGGAGGAAAGCTTGAGCTTAAGATCTTGTTCAAGACCAACCTGGGCAACATAGTGAGACTCTTTCTCTAAAAAACACCAGTTCTGGTGAATGGGGAGAGAATGAGCGTTCATTTAAAATAACCAAGGAACAATGGAGTTTTATAGGTAGGAAAAACCCCACATATATTAATAGATGGGAAATTCAACCCAGAGAGATTAAATGATTTGCCCCAGTCTCATGGCTAGTGGGACATTTTGGCACTTTTCTGTCTTGTCTTTTTTTCTCCCCCCTCTCACTCACCGATGTAATTATATGCTGTATTCTTGGCAAGATCTTTTTCTTCTTTGTCTCCTCCTCCTTTACCTCTTCCTCTGTTCTGCCTCTTCTCTTCTTCCTCTTCCTTCTCCTCCCAGTCACTCACATCTCTACTTACAGCCTGATTGACATGTGACCTGAGGAGATGGCGTCTGTCTGAGTAGGCTTCCAAAATAGTATGTTCGTTTACTGGCACCCTTAGTTAGGTAGACAGGAGTTCTAAGAGACTTATTGTTCTTAATTCTGGGATTCTTTTGGATTTCTGCAGTGCTGCATATGATGCTGTCCTTGACAGAAATGTGGCCATTAAGAAACTCAGCAGACCCTTTCAGAACCAAACACATGCCAAGAGAGCATACCGGGAGCTGGTCCTCATGAAGTGTGTGAACCATAAAAACGTGAGTTTCATTATTTTTAAACCTCTGGCGGTGGGAGGCTGTGAGGTTGGAGGAAAAAAAATTGTATCCCTACTTGAGCAAAAAGACTTCCTTTACTTTGCAATTCCTGCCTCTTAAGACTGCTTATTCTGCCCATATGCTGCATTTGATTCCATTGTCTTCAGGGTAGCTTTCTATTTAAAAATCCCCTAAAAACCATGTGACAAGAAGGGAATGAACTTTCTAGATATTTCCCTGTTAGGAAATCAACCATATTTGGTTATCTTGCTCCAAAGTAACCAAAGAACTTCATGGTTTTCAAAAAAGTAACAAATAAAAACAAAAATACCCTACAGAATAAAATACTAAATTTATAAGTTACATTTAATTACTAACAAATGAGGATGTTCATTTATCATATTATCTTCTTTTTGTGTTAGCTGTAGTCTGGCGGGGGCCTCTAACTATTCAGTGCATATACTATGTGTCAGCATCCTGTTTTGTGTTGGGGTGGACAAACATGAAAATATATATTTTTACAGAGCACATCAGAACAGGATCATCAAGAGTATTTTCTCATTGGAACTCAGCTGAGTAGGCCATAAGAGGACTTTCCTCCCTTCTAAGCCCTCTAGAATCCTTTCTGTGCTCCAGTTCTTCTTAGTAAAGATAAATAAGAGAGAACCCATTATTTTAATGAAAACTATTATTATTATTATTTTGAGTTGGGGTCTTGATCTGTTACCCAGGCTGGGGTGCTGTGACCCATGGCTCACCACAGCCTTGACCTCCTGGGCTCAGTAGTTCCTACCCCTCAGCTCCAGAGTAGCTGGGGATACAGGCATGTACCACCACTCCCAGATAATTTTGTATTTTTTCTAGAGATGAGGTCTTGCTATATTGCCAAGGCTGGTTTCAAACTCCTAGGTTCAAACATCCTCTTGCCTTGGCCTCCCAAAGTACTGAGATTACAGATGTGAGTCACCAGGCCTGGCAATAATAACTATCATTAATGCTCATAAATACAATTGCAATCAATATATTTTATTACATATAAATATATAATAATAAATTATAGATTTTCATAAATAAATTTTATTTTATTAAAATAAAAATAATACTTTTATTATAAATAAAGTTGTTATGAAGTTTCATAGGTATCATAGCTCTCTACAAAGTTCTTCTTAAGTATGAAAACACACAGAATACATGGAACTATCCATGGAATTTTATAAACTAGGAATCTTGTCCTAAGGCTAGTCATCTGTCAGTGGCACTGAGAAGAAGCAAAAGTATGTGTTTAGTTGAAAAATATTTGAAATACGGATATGTGGATTTGGGTCCCATGACAGCATTTCTCGTTTCCACTATCACTTTTTAATGAAGTCATTTGACAATTATTTGTTGGATGAATGAAATGTGTCTGGCACAGATCTATTAATAGATGCTCTGAATCTGAGGGTGTGACTGAGAAGAAAACAGGACAGAGGGTTGGGGGAGGGACACATCCCTGCCCTCGTGGAGCTTATACTCTATGCATGAGAGAAGGGCTATCCACAATAAGAAAAGTCAACATGTGGTGCTCAGGTAGTGATAAGTAAAACAAAGCAAAGAAAGAAGACAAGAAATGCTGGTTAGTGGTGGGTTTAGCTTTACACTGTTAAATAGGTTGAGTAGCAAAAGTCTCACTAAGAAAAGGACATTGTATAAAATGTGCACCAGTCTCTAACATGGTCATACAACAAACAGGAGACTTCTAGAAAGGAATATAGAAATAGTAGAAAGGATGACTGCTAAGAAGAACTGTATATTAAAGTAATTTGTTCTTTATTGTGTTAAATAAAGGCAGGAGCAAGATTAGCCACGTGGACAATGAAATATATTTTGCGTAGCAAAGAGGATGGAACAACATAGGCAATGAAAAATGTATGAAAGCAAGCAATAAAGCGACTGTAAGAAAAGTTCTCTGTACATATAGTTCTAGTTTCCTAATCCTCATTCCAGACCCTGTAATGTGATACAATGTGGAGAAATGCCCGTTTACTTACCAATTTGAGGGTCTCATGCTCCCCATTCTTGACTAACTTTAAGGACTCAAATTTATAATACCTGAAAAGGAGTCCCAAATTGCAATGACAATTTGTAAACAGCATTCCACCTGCTACTTACCTTTTATGTGTGTATGGAAGAATGCATGTATGCATAGACGTCTACAGAAATACATTTCTGGAGCTTGTTAACAGAGTAAGTTATTGCCAAATGTAAACTTCACATTAGTATTTTAATACTCAGTGAAAGACAGAAGACAGAACTCTCTTACTACTGTGGCAAGGAAAACAGTAATCCCATTAAATCTTTAACAATGGTGTAGAAAATCTATTTAGAAAGTGAATACTCAGTACTAGGGACTGGGGTGATTGTGGGCCATGATAAATATTGATTCACATCTGTGTGTCTCAAGACGCTGGAATAAAGAACTAAGTTCCATTCCTGCCTGGAAATGGTTGAACTAAAATGGAAACACCTGTGATGATCTCCTTCTGAAGACATATTTTAAAATCGGTTATTAGTTAGCAATTAGAATTTATAAGTGAGCAAAGAAAGAACAGAGGAAAAAAATTTCAAGGGAAATCAGAGAAGATAAAGGAGAAAAAAAAATAGGGCATGAGAAAAGGGAAAATAAGAATGCACAATAGAAATAGATCTTGAGAAATTACCTTTTAAAATAATAAATAGCATTATAAAAATTATAATGCTATTTTCTAAATTCATTAGATTACTTACTTTTTTTTTAACCAGGTGATATGGATTAGCATGTTTTCATTTTTAAGGGGGTGTTTGTGGGAATGTGTGTGTATGTGCCCTATGCACAGTCTCCAAAGCTTTTGTTTGAACAAATATCAAAATGAAATAAAGTACCAGATTGATAAAGTACTAGAGAGACACATAGTCACTGTAGATGTTTCAGTGAAAGACGAACCTCAGATATTTTCTTTTTTTTTTTTTTTTTTGAGTTGGCGTCTCACTCTGTCGCCCAGACTGGAGTGCAGTGGCCACTCCCGGCTACCGCAGCCTCGACCTGCTGGGCTCTGGCGATCCTTTCACCTCAGCCTTCCAAGTAACTGGAACTACAGGCGCGCGCTACCACACCCAGCTCATTTTTGATTTATTGTAGAGATGAGGTCTCGCCAAGTTGCCCAGGCGGGTCTTGAACCTGCGGGCTCAGGCAATCCACTCACCTCAGCCTCCCAAAGGCTCGGGATTACAGGCTGAGCCACCAATATTTCAACACTCACTGCAACTAAGTTTACAGAATAGCAATATTACAAGTTTTAAAATATTTTGAAACAATTTTACTTCTATATGAATATTTCACACTGCATTAGAAGAGATGCTCTTAGTATTTTTTTTTGAAATGTTGCAACCATTGCTGTGTATATATATATTTTTCTCATTGAAAATATAGAATGGTATTGTGATTTTTTTCTCAATGATTTCTCAACCAGTAGAAATGACTTGAGGTAGAAAACATTTCAAAAAATGACTCAATTTCTCAGGTGTTTAAAATCATTTTATTTTGTTTTTATTACTCCATATGTTTTTATTTTATTTATGAATTTTTCTGAACTTATTTGATGCTTTGAAGCTGTTTAGATCTTGAGCTTGTATTTATACATTAAAAAAAATGCTTGCAACTATCTTGTGAGTAGAATATTGTTATCTACACATTTAAATGTCCATTTCCTACTGGTACATTAGTATAGAATATTTAGCTGGAATAACATTTCAAGTTATTTATTTATGCAATCTATGGAAATGTGACAGAGGGTTTTTTTTTACACAAAATTTACTTATGTTAGAACGTAATTTTTTTTACTAGCTGATGTATAAAATAACTAAAGGCTAAAACAAAACATTTTAACCTGAATTTAGATGCATTTTAAAAACATTTTCCACTAAATTGATGTCATCCTTGATGCACTCTTCCCCACACATGTCACTGGAACATTAAAGTAATATTTGAGAGTGAGAAATAAAAGAAACTAAAGTAACAAACGCATCATGAAGCAGAGAACACTTAGTTCACCTGGAGGAGAAATGACCCCTTGCTAGGTCTTGTTGAGAGTTTCCCAGCAGCCTCTCTTCTCTCACATGGCTTTTCCTACATTTTGTTTAATCCCGCAGCCTATTTACTACCACGAAGAAACACATTCTAAAGCTCTATGACAATTATATATCTCCTCTCTTTCCATTGCAAAAGAAGTTGAGTGTTTTAACTGCATTATTAACCTGCAGAGTATACGTTCTTTCAGAACACTTTCTGTGTTCTGTGAGACAGTTCTAATTTTTTTTTCCAACTTTTCAAATTCTACCACAGCACTAGTGAGTGACTTTGAGTTGGAATAAATACAGGTTTAAATATACTTTTTGAATAATCCACTCTCTTTTCTCTGTTCCTTCCACTCTTTCTTTCCTCCAGATTATTAGCTTATTAAATGTCTTCACACCCCAGAAAACGCTGGAGGAGTTCCAAGATGTGTAAGTAACAAAGATCATGAAGGAAGGGAAAGCACAGCACTCAGATACCTTGGAGGGAAAAATCACACACACACACACACACACACACACACACACACACACACACACACACACACGGGGGAGGGGGCGGGGCGGGGGGAGAGAGAGAGGAAATTCTTTGTGGAAACCAAAGGGAAGTAAGAGCTGAGATCAAATGAAGGGAATCCAGTGGCAGGTGGAAAATATTCTGCTTGTGGTGTTACTTCGTGGAAAGACATTCTGTCTCTTTCTGGCTCCATGACTCTGCATGCTTTGCTGTTCCACGTGCTTGGTTCAGTCAAGGAAGGCTTCTTTATTTATTATTATTAACTGATTTCATGAACTTTCTAGGATGAGCCAAGTTACCTTGAGAAATAGTAATACAACGAACATGATGCAATGTTTTTTGTTCTTTATTTCTATTTTTATATTGCCTTTGATTTTGTGCAAGAGTCACCCTACAAGTTTAGTGACAATAAGCTGAGGTAAGGAAGTGATTCCCTAGTTGTTGTCTTTTTTAACAGAGACACATGGAATTTAAGGCAAGAAGCTGTTCTTAATTTTTTTTCTATTTGTAATCAAAATAATTGGGAAAGAGTCTAGAGAATACAGGGAAAAGTGAGAACAAGATGAAGGTAAAAATTATACAGGCACAAGCCACACAGTAGTAAATGCTGCTTCTATTAGCAACTTTGTGGTAGCGTTCCTGTATCTAACACACATGCAGTACCCAGAAATTCTCACATTCTTGATTCAGTCAAAAGCAGAGCTGGAAAGTTTAGAAGACTTCAGAGTTAGGAGAGGATTCTGACTAACTTGAAGAACATCATAGGTCTTGGGATCTAGAACTAACATTGTGGATTTCCCCTCTAGTTACTTAGTAATGGAACTGATGGATGCCAACTTGTGTCAGGTGATTCAGATGGAATTAGACCATGAGCGAATGTCTTACCTGCTGTACCAAATGCTGTGTGGCATCAAGCACCTCCACTCGGCTGGAATTATTCACAGGGTGAGACACCTACTCTAGAAGTATAATTAAGATGCCTTTAGAGAAGAGAAGAGAAGAGAAGGAGCAACTGTGGATTGTGTTTTCTATACAGGGGGCTTGGTTACATATAATAAACGCCTTCATTTCTTTGATAATGAAATTAGCACATAGTTCACTAGTGTGTAGAAGGAAATTTTAGCTCTACTGTAGTTGATTTTGTTCAACATTATGTTTCAGCTTATTGAGAAGCAGTTCCTGAGAAATTTATGCTTTCTAGCTCCTTGATTGGCAGAGGTCATATGTATAGCTGAAATATGACAATTCATTCCATAATTTGTTTCTGGCAGCATAAAAACATCTGCTCTGACCTGTTCTTCTGTCAGGCCTAGAAATGAAATATAAGATGAAAGATTTATGTTGCCCTAAGGAGAAACCTAACAGATGACAATACATTTTTTTCCCCCAAAACTGCTTCCCAAGATGAGCCTAAATTGTAAAAATGGTAATACAGTTCCCTTCTGAGTTTAAAAAACTTCCTGAGGGTATATTTTTTAAAATCTGAAAACTAATACTTAAATTCTTTGTAGCAGTAATTATTTGTCTTCTACAGGACTCTGCAGGTAAGGGGGCCTCCATTAGTATTCTTGCAAGGTTTGTTGATTGAGTGGATGGAAATAACATGTTTCATTTGACACCGGCTTTTAATTTTTTTCCCTTGTTCCTATTGTCAGGATTTAAAACCAAGTAATATTGTGGTCAAGTCTGATTGCACGTTGAAGATCCTAGACTTTGGTCTGGCCAGGACAGCAGGCACAAGCTTCATGATGACTCCTTACGTGGTGACACGTTACTACAGAGCTCCCGAGGTCATCCTGGGAATGGGTTACAAGGAGAACGGTAGGGTGCTTCTGGGTAGCAGCAAGAAACCTTGACTCAAATGGGCTCACTTTTGAGAGAGCTGGGAGGAATCTTCCCCTTCATGCATCTGACTTCTTAAAGCAGGGCTGTCAGTTTTCAGATTCAGAGTTTTTTTTTTTTTTAAATTTAGTGCTACTGGTAAGAATTACTCATTAAAAATGTGAACGATGTTTCTGAGAAGTCAGCTTTGCTTGAAGAACACTAGAATGTTAATAGCTAGAAAGAATTGTAAATGGAGTCTGATTAAACAGTCAAGTGGATACTGATTAGCACACATGCTGTAGATATGGAGAAAAAGTGCTATTTGGGTTGCAGCTCAGCCCAGAGTAGTGTGAAAGCAGGAAGGAATCTGTCTATTGCATTGAATCATTTGACTTTTATGTCACACTTTTGATTGATGGTTTTAGTCCTAGGGAAAGGGGAGCAAAAAGAAGCCACAAATTCTCAGAGTGAGAATCTTCACAAACATAAAATAAACAGCCAATTGAAGATAATCCAAATTATTTAAGTTGAATAAGAATTTCTTTAATACTTTAAGCTGCTCTGTAAGTAATATTTAGAGTAGCAACTACCTAGTAAATCTTTATGAATTTCAAAATGCATAAAAAGGGAAAATATTAAATTTGACCCTACTGCTTTCATAAAGAAAATCTAATATTCATGAATACTTTAAAATAAAAGGTATAGAAAGACTTTTCAAAATGTATTCCAGTTGGATTTTATTGATTAAAATGAGAGTTAAAAATACATGTTGGAGAGCATTGCTATATATTATTTTGATGAGATTATCTCTTAGTAATGCACCATGTTAAAAAAACACAAAACACTTCCAATATACTTAGGAATGAAAATAGTTTTAAATTAGGTTTTTATATATGTACATATATATATATAGATACACACATACATACACACATTCAATGTGTCTTTCACATTTATTTTTATGTGCTATTCTGTTTGGTAACTAGCAGCCTATTTTTATAACTTCTATAAAAATAATTCATATATATGCATAGGTGCCGTAGGGTACTTACATTCCCTGACCACTTTACAAAAAAGTTTACAAAAACTCTGTGCTTTCAGATGAGAAGACAGATAGTACTTTAGAGCATTTTTACAGAGGAAGGGAAAAGTCAGCTCCTGAGGTCAGGTTCACTTTGGGGGGCAGTGTCAGGGTTCATGGTACCTTTTTACTTGGAAAAGATGACTTGGCTTTCCTCCCAAGGCAAAACCACATCTTATTTACTCAGAAAAGAAGAAATTTGTATATCTTCTTTACAAGTTATTTTTAAAAAGTCAAAGGGGAAACAAAGAAAAGCCAGGAATCAAGAATGTGCAGGAGACTCACAGGTCTGAATTTGCCTACTGGGCTTTTTGGACCTTGACTGCAGAGACAGCAATTATTAAAACCCCTTTGCCTCTCCTCGCTAGAAAGAGCTGTAAGTTTTACTGCTTAGGTGTTTTGGCTTCTCTAAAGTCCATGGAGAAGGTATCCCTGCACCCTGTACTGCCCTCCCACTGAGGGAAGGAAGGTTATCATGCAGAGAAACCTGCTTGCTCCCACACCAGGTGTGCCCTGCTGTCCCATGAACCTAACCCTGCCTTTCTTCCTCATGGAGCAATTCAGCCAAATGTTTCTGCCCACAAGTCCCTTTGTCCTTACTAAAAAGCGAATTGGAGGGAGGTGTAGATTGGTGAGGGAAGGTGAAGTGTGTTTGTCTAACAAGTGTGACAATTTGGAAATAAATATACATACATAACAATTTTTAACACTTTTAATACCTTTTTTCACTTTACTTCCAGATGGTTCCTTTATACATGTGCTAATTAATCATATATCTTTTTACATAAAACATTTCAAATGGAAACTAAAACTGATGTTTATTTACAAGGATAACTTCTGAAGGACAAACTAAGTACCAAATATTCAGCCTTTAAAACATAGTTCCAGTCATTTCCTAGTTTTTTTGGATTTGGTTGAATGTACCTTATTTTGGGCAAATGAAGGGGAGCGTCTCTTGTTGCCAAATTCCACATAACTGAATGGAATAGAAAATGGAAATGGCCACCCTTAGAGATTAAAATGGTTTTCTGTCCGTCCAGCAAATGGCATCGATATTTGGTGGCTTTTAGTCATTGCCTGCCATGGAAAAACTTTTGGTTTAGCTGCTGCTTTTTCATGTCATCGGTGTCACCACTTTGTGGCACTGCAGAGGCAATCTAAGGCACCCATAAAGTAATGTTTTCTTAAACCTTAATTTGCAAAAAAAAAAAAAAAAAAAATTGCGTTCCCTTACTAGACACTGCTTATGTAATAGTGTAGTGCTGGTTTTAATTGACCTGTTTGCCAACTTTTGGTGGGAGGAGAAATTGTACCTTCTAATCAAACTGTTCTTTTTCCTCCTCCTTCAGAAGTCGATTATCTTAGTTAACTTTGCTTTCCTCCCTTTCTTCACTACCCTCTCTCTCCTGTTCTAGTGGATATATGGTCTGTAGGATGCATTATGGGAGAAATGGTTCGCCACAAAATCCTCTTTCCAGGAAGGGACTGTATCCTTGTACCTTTTGCTACAGCTTTTACCTGTTTTGTTCTCTCTCCCTTTAAACATACAATGATTTACCAGGAGAGTAAAGATAGAAGCAAAAAGTTGGGTAAGTGGTGTCGTTGTAATAAAAAAAAAAAGTGATGATTTCTATAATCTGACCAGTATTGAAGACTACCAACCATGATGATTTCTTTTAATTAAATTTTCTATAGTCTTTTTTCCTTCTTAAATTATTTTCTTGCCTACAACCAAACATAGCAATGCTATTTTTTTCTCCCTAAATTACAGAGGCCACCAGACCTCCAATGATTAAAATATATTTATTTTTATATGTACTTATTTTTATGACTAGTCACTATTTGCAAGTCATTTTCCATCTCCTTTCTAAAACTATTTATGTTTCTACAACATTTAGGCATAATAATTTCTCTCCTTACTGGCATCTTAAGCTTCTGTCTTTGATTTAAATTACTCTTGACACTATATCAAGTCTTTAATAGGCCAATATAGCATATCCTTCTCAAAACATAAACTTCCATATTTAAGAACTGTACTTATGATTCATATTGCCAGAGGTCAGGTGGATTTAAAATAGGCTTCTCTCACTTGACTTGGAGATGTGACATAGACAAAGATACTGATTTTTCCAACCAAATTTAGAATTTTATAAATTTAGTAGATTTGAGTTCTACCACTCAGTCTTGCAAAAGAGTCCATCAAAAATGTCCTGGAAAGCTATTTATGATTTGGAATTATTAAATGAGATGGTATATTTTTAAAATTAACAACATTTTACTCTCTAATAAAGATATATATATTTGCATTTGTAATATGTAGACAATTATTAACAGTAGAATATACTTTTATAAATACAAAAATACCTTCCTACAAACACTAGTGCAAATCTCAGTACAACAATAGTTGACAACCTTGACAATAATAGTGCAGTATTGAATTTGGTATATTTATTACTTATGAATTTTTTTTGGAAATTGGCAATAACCATGTGGTCCATAGCTCTATTAATTATTCAGTTTGATTGATAAGAAAGTTTTACTAAGGAATCCTTTTATTAGGTAAGAAAAGTTATGATTTTTATTTAAGTTAAAAAAGGACAATAGTACAAAAAATACTGACTTAATAAGTTGACAATATAATGAACATGCATTTAGGTAGGCACCTATTCATTCTGCTGGATATTAATGAGATGTTCTCTAAATTCCACCAGCAATGAAAGAGTAATGACATATTCTAGAGTTGCACTGTCTAAGTGATGACCATTAGCCATGTGTGGCTATTTAGCTCTTGAAATTGTTTGAACTGAGATGTGTTATATGTGTAAGATGCATACCAGATTTTGAAGATATTAAAGAAAGCATGTAAAATATATCACTAATATTTTTATATTGATTATAATAACATTTAATATAGTGGGTTAAATATGTATATTTTAAAAATTAAGCTCACCTGTTATTTTTAATGCAGATATTAGGCTTAAAATTGCAGGTATGATTACATTTGTGACTCTCATTTTTCTATTGGACAGTGCTGGTCTAGAAAATGAGAAAACCAACTTAGCAGCCTTTTACTTACAACCAATCTTAAAGTCTTAAATCACTGTTTGCTCCATGTTCCTTTGCTATCTATAGGGTAAAGTATCATTTTCATTGATGATTTTTATATGACTACTTAGGAAAATTCCTTTTACTTTAAATTACTTATTTGTAGTTTGGGGATCAATTATATACCTAATGTAGTTGGTTTGAACATTATTACAATACACATTCGTATATAAAGTATCAATTTTATTCAAAAGTGGGATTTTTTTCTTTATGCTTTTGCCTTTGGAATCTAATATATTTTGGACAAAAAAGGAACCTCTCAATCAATACTCAGTGTGAAGTTGCACAGTCATATATCTATAATGCACTCGTAAGTGGAAGAAAAAGCTATATGATTTCTTATTTTCATGTGACATTTTGCTACATGTCACTTGATTGCCACCTAGCAGTGTTGATCTCTGAGAACAAATTCAACTCTTCAGGCATTCATCAGGATTGCTTTTTGCCTGTTTTGACAATGTTAAAATTAAAAACTAATAAAATTATGAAAAGTAAAAATATTTTTTAACTCAAGCTAAACCCTCACAGAACAGACAAATAAAGATAACAGCACCATACTGACAATTCTGCTTTCTTGCAAAAATTGTTCTCTTGGAGGTCCCCATTTTTCTTTTATTCTAGTTTGTTTAAAAAAAAAAGTTTGAGACTGAAATTAAATTGTGCAAAAATCAGTACAAAAAAATGTATATCCCTGATATGTTTGATCCTAGAAATTTAGATAATTTAAAATACAAAAAGTAAAGATTGTGATAAGGGTTTGCTTTCTGTATTTCTTCATCTCAGGTGATCATTATATGGTACATCAGTTGTTGATAGCCTAGTGCCATATGTGATAATGACCTTGCATAAGGATCATTTTATTTTTACCTAAAAGTAAAAGAGGAAAATTACATAGAGACATTTACAGTGGAAAACTTTTACTTAAGATAAATTTTACTTAAATATAGGTAAATAATTTCCAGTGAAGTGAGTTAGAGGAAATGCTGTCTTTTAAAAAATGTCCATTTTTTTCCATTTCAATAAGACTTGTTTTTTAAAATTTTGCCTGTAATGAAGATTATAATTTAATGTTTTAAGTTTTGGCTACCTTAAAAGATGTAGACATCCCCAGTAGACAGTGGACTATATGAGATTTTTGAGTTTTGAATGGAATTGTTTCAGTAATCTTTAAATGAAATTACTATCATTTATGAGGAAGGTTTTCTACCAAATATAGAGAGATCAGATGATTGAACTAACTTCACTAAACCGTTATGATCAGACAAGGCTGGAGGCTGATGAATTATTTATGGGGAGAAGAGTTATACCAATATTTTGGTATATTGAAATGACTCTAACATTTATTGAAAATAATATTGAAGTTAGGTATATGCTGATATCCTGACTACTTCCAATATTCTGCAGAGATTAACAAAAAATCAGAGGTTCTCTTGACTTTCATGTAGAATTATTAAATAACTTTAGTAAATAACTTTGAGGCTGAAAGATGATGTGATAATACTCTATCATCATAATCAACATTCTCTATCTTTATAGAAATTTTAAATCTGAATCCTAAGCAAAACTAGCAAAATGCCTAGACAAATAAGAAAATCTTATGAAATTGTCATCAATGACTGAAGTTTTTAAATACTTTTCTTCTTAAACCTATCTATTGAGAAATATTGTGAGACTTTTTTAGTGATAGATATAATCCAGATGATATCAGAAATACTTCCTCAATTACTAAATTAGAACACTGACAAAATACCATAAATGTAAAACATAAACAATGCACGTGGGCAACCCCCTCAGGTCTACTTCCACTGTGGGAGCTTTTCTGTCCTTTCAATAAATCCTGCTATTAAAAAAAAAGCATGTTTTCTTTTCCATAGTTTTCTAATTACTTTACCATCTAAAGGGTCAGTTATAAAATATTTATTTTTATTGCATAATTTCTTGATTATATAAACACTATTATACTTTCAATTTTCACTATAGTTTTATTATTAAAACATATTTCAAAGCATTTATATTGACAAAACATAGTACATAGTATTCCTAAAAATTCTAAGACCCAAGCTCGCTTTCAGGTTAAAGAGTAGTACATATTTTCTTTATGTATTCCAAAGAACAAGTAACAGATATTAATGACTTTACCTCACTTAGATTTTGTTCCTTTCAAAATAATTTAGAGTAAAACAGCTTTACAATGCTTTCTTAGAAGTTTTTCTTAAGAACTACCCAGTCACTCACTGTTCACCCAATCTAAACGTCTTACTGAAAGCTCTTATAATATCAGTATACCCACCCTTCATGAGGTTTTCCTTACCTACTTCTTTTAGATACATTCCTCAACTTTATTTTTTGATTCTACTTCAAATGGTAGCTCCTTCTTTGAGCAAACCCCAGGATGTGCTTTTATCTAGAGTTCTTGGCCAGCCTACTCTAAGCTATGTTAAAAACAGGCACATGGTACTTAGGTGAAAATTCTAGACCTCGAGTATAACATCTCCAATTAAAGTTGGCGATTGGACTGTTAAAACACCCCCTCTTGCTGTTCCCTCTGAAGAAAAAGAACATTTAAGGGAAATTTATGAAAGCATATTGTCTAAATCCTATGCTAAATGAAAATATAATTAGATGTGTTAAGGAGAGAAGCAGTGTAGTCTCAGAAATTGTGTTAAAAGAGACACATAATCTCCTAGATAGGAAACATTTTCTAGGTTGCTGAATAGAAGCTCACGTAGTCCAAAAATTATTTAATCATGGATTATTATCCAAGCATTAGACAGAGTATGGAAGTAGCAACATAATGCTTTCTTTATTTAGATTTAACAGCCAGGACCTACATTCTATCATTTCTGTCTCTTGGCTAGAAGTAGAAAAAATAATTCAGTGTAAGCTAATTTCTAAAAAATGACATGACACTGAGATTTTTCAGAGGCTCTCACTCAGAAAATTAATGACCATATTTTAGTAACATCAAAACTGACTTAACATTTCTTCTAAGGAAAGTGAGTCAGTATCTGAGCGTTGCAGTTGCAAATGAATCTGCTCGCTGCCTATGGGAATACTGATGATGGAAGGGAGAATGTGATGAATTAGAATTATAAGAGCTGCCAGAACTCAGCATGGACAGGATTAGTTTCAGAACCCTTATGGAGAACCAAATACTGTATAGGTTGTCTCAAAGAGCACAAAAGTCCAGTTTGCAACAGTGGTTAAATTTGCTAATTGCTTCTAAGGTCTATGCAAGTCACTATTTACTATACTATCTTGAAAATTTCATAAAATAATCTGTTTTCATCTTGATAAGCATAAATATATATAATATTACTAATATGTATTTTATTATATATATACACATATATACCTCCCTGTACAAAAATACGTAGTATCA